CCCCAAGAATGGAAATGGAAAAATTAAAACTTTCTCTCCTCGAAAAATGTGAAAAAGGAAAACAAACAGACACATTGTTCGTACGCTTAAATATTTTCAATTCTATTGAATTAAACAACCTCCACAATATATTTTTCATATATGCTATTGAATTCCTTTTTCAATTTTTTTACTGAGCCTTAATTCTAATTTCTCTCGTAAATTTCTCAATTCTAACCTTTTTTTTCTGTTTGTGTAATTTTGTACTGTCCAAATGTTTACATCCACATATTAAAAATATAAAAAAAAAAAAAAAGTTCAATAGTACCCAAACGGGTAAGTTATCTAAAAGACTAAAATGAAGAGATTTATAACTATGAAAATAAATGTTTTATTTTATTTTTATTTTTTTATTCTTCTTAGTTGAAGATTGTTTTTTTTTTTTTATCAATGTGTTTTCTCCCTGTTTTTCTTTTTTCCATAAGAACCCTAGATTTCTTTCTTGCATTAATATATCTAAAACGGGTGCAACTATATTATTATATCACGTAAAATAAGCTCAAGTGATAGACACATGTGCGTTTTTGTGACCTTTTTTTATGGATTTATATGGATGAGTGGATGACCATTATTGTGAATGATTAAAAGTTGAGGAACCGTTTTGATTTAAAAGTAGAGGGTCTGTTTTGTTAAAAAAAATTTAAAAAAATGGATAAAAGTATCACATGGTAAAAAATTAAGGGGCCATTAGTGTAATATACACCTTTTAAATTTACAAATATTTCCAAACACACAAACCCAAATTAAAGGGATATTTATATTTTTATATCTTGTGTTTTAAGTTTATTTAAAATATACTTTTAAATTATATTTTATATATAAATTTATATTTTATCTCGATCAATAATTAATTTTAACTTTTAAAATGATTAAATTATCCCTAAAAAAAGAAAGATAAAAAAAACTAAAATTTTTCAATTTTACAAACAATAAAAGTTTAAAACACAAAAAAAAGTATTTTGCATATTTTTTACGTCAAATAGTAAGTTTAAAGCTTTTTTAGTCTTTTTTTTTATTTAAGGATATTTTAGATCAATTAAGGATTGATTGTGGAAATGTATAAATTTAAAAATATGTGTTTAATGAGAACAAAAAAAGCTGGTGTGGTGAAGATTAAGTAACAATGGTTAGGATTGTGAAAAAATAGATCTAACTTTTAGGTTAGACATTCATAAGTATGTTGATTGTGGGGGAAAATCTACTCAGAATTCGTGGATAGTTTGACAGTTGTATCTTCTTCGTTAGCAACTTTTAGCTGAATTTGTTGATCATCCGACAAATCAGACGTTGTGACTGGATAAACAAGGCAATTAGTTATTGATCAAGGACAGGAAAATTTAGCCTCATTTGATCACACAAGGTTAGAACTTGTTAGGAACAATAGCCATGACATAAAACCTTCTGGATGTGCATTGGTAGCTGAGTCAAAATCCTGTATTTCTATGGTACCACATCCAAAAATCCAGCCTTAGATAGAGGCCTGGGTATCATAAGTGCCTATGATTAAGAAATTTTCGCTTTTGCTATTTTTTTTTTTCCCCCCAACAAACACCGTCTCTAAATAGCAAAGTGGCTTTTATTCAAAGGCATCATCATATAGATGATCACCATAAAAGAGAGACTTGTACATGGCTGAGAATGGAGAGAGAGAGAGTGAGAGAATGGAGGGATTTCAGAAGTGAGATGGTGAGGATGATGGGCATCAAATTCGAAAATGAAGATTTAGAAGCCATTGACAAGGCCTAAAGTAGGATTCTCGACCTTGAGCAATCTAAGAAGAGGGGTCCACAATCATTTCCATGTAGGGCCCATTTTCGGCACATACGCAAGCTTCTCATCGGTTGATATTTTATTATGGTATTTAAAAAGATGTTTAGTTCATAGATTTAAAATTATGATTCAGAATTATTTTTAATTTATGTATATTTTTTGTAAAAAAAAATATTATAACGAGCCACAAACCATAATATGAATTATGATATGGATCTTTGCTCCAAATATACCCTAAACTTTTCATGTTCCTTTAAGGCTTCAGAAGTGTGGGTGGGAAGAGGCAGAATTAGGCTGTTTTATCAAAGCAACTCTAGCTTGGTTGGGAAACTTTCCTTCCCAGAGACTTTGAAGTACAGGACTGTTTGAAAAGTGTATTTGAATTATGATTTAGGTTTTGATTCAAATTCATTAACACCTATAGTTATTTTGCCCCTGGAAGAAAAAAAGAAGTTATTTTGTATTTACAAGAAAGTTTCCTCATATAATAGGGTAGGCTCTTGATTAACGTTTTAAAATATTGAATGTCAACACTAACTTGTGGATGAAGAGAAGATAAAGAGAAAATTAAGAAACAAATATAAAATCTTCAAGGATTTGATTGAAAAATTAGCAGCTTTGAGAATCAAGAAACTTTTAAACGATAATTATATATATAGGCAACTTAAGGTGGGGTTTTTTATCCTACCGATAAGTAAGATTGTTTTAAGCGTTGGATTAACTTTTTAACGATAGATATGCGAGAGTCCATATTAAAAATTTGAAACACGTGACACAAAACTGCTTCAAATCACAGATTTAACCGTTAAAAAATTAATCTAACAATTAAAATAGCATTACCTGCCGTAAGATAAAAAACCCGTCCTACCATAAAAATTGCTATATATATATAGTTTTAATGGTATCTCTAATATTTACACATCAATAGGTATCATTATTTTAGCCGCATAATATTAATCCGACGTTTATAATAAATTATAAGTTGACAAAAAAAATAATGATAATTAATAGAACTGGATTATTATCACGTCACGTCATCATATTTCTATATTTGTTAGTAACCACATTGATAAAAAAAACGCAACCATTGAAAACTCATATATATATATATGTGTGTGTGTGTGTGTGTGTGTGTGTGTGTGTGTGTATATAGTAACGGTAATCAAGGTGGCGTTTGTTTCAAGGGTTTCGTTTGGTTTAGGATCATAGTTCTTAGTTCTGCTACATGCTACAGTGTTTTCTCTCATAAAAAATTTAAATTTCAAAAATCAGAATCATGAACCATGGTTCTGAATTCATGAACCAAACGTTTTATGTTCGCAAGGAAGGTAAAAAGGAAAGGGAGGTGAAGATGCACTTTAGGGTCTGTTTAATATGAGAGATAAATTGGTAGAATGATGAATATGATACGAAGGAATGGAAGTGGGAATAGAGGGATGAATTATAGGACCTGTTCACTTCGCTGATTCGAGTTTGTAATTCGAGTTGAGATGTGATTTTGTGTGAGAGCTTTTTACTGGTGTAAAAAAGTTAGATGTGACTGTTTCTGAGAGCTTTTTACTGTAGCAAAACTCGAATCGACGAAATGAACGAGACCATAGTTTTCCCTGAAGTTATTTAGTATGGTAGGAAGAAATTATTGCTATTATCACTCTCTCTCGTTTGGTATTGAAACAAAAAAAGAAAGAGAGGATAAGTTCGATTCATAAAATTACTATATTATCTATTTTCTTTCTTAAAATGTCTATTTATTACTTATCAATAGTGTTATACTCAATTTTCTTCAAATAAAATCTTTAATGTTCAATCTATACAGAAAAAATAAACTTTTAAAAAAATTTATTTATGAGGACATTTTTATAAACAAAATAAAATTAATATATAGACACAAATAAAGAACTTTTCAATAAAAGGAAAAAAAAATTAAAATCACTGTTATCATTTAAAAAATTTGAAAAATAAGAAAATATTTAAATTTATATTATGCATATAACAATTAAATATATGTTTTACATATATATACACACACGTGAGTTTTAAACTGTTATTTACGTTATCTAAAAACAAACTATTAGTATCGTTATAAATTATCGTATATATATAATTAATGAGATATTCGGAGCAGAAAAAAATAATTAATGAAATAGAACTGTATTGGAAAAACAAAAAAAAAGGAATTGGTATTACAAATTTTATGAAAAGAGGTCAAAATGAACATCTCACAATAAACTTTCTTCTCCACCTCCTAATCCGTCCAATATTGGAGGGATTGTTTTTGGTGGGCACAGATGGATTCTTAACCCCTAGGAGAATCCACTCCTCCCACCAATCCACCCTACTAAACAAGTAAGAAGCTTCCCCTTCACTTTTCTTTCCTTCCACCCCTTTCTTTAGATTTTAAGTTTTTGACCTCTAAAATATGCAAAATGCCATTTAAATGAGTTATTTTGTGTTATTAAACTTGTATTTATTGTAATTTAAAAGTTTTAGTGTTTTTTTTTCTTAAGGATAGTTTAATCATTTTAAAGGTTAAAATTAATTATTGATTAAGATGAGGTATAAATTTATATATTAAATTTAATTTAAAAGTATACATTTAATGAGATCAAAAACTGAATGTATAAATTTTAATAAATCTAAAACACATTGTATAAAAATATAAATATCCCAAGAAAAAAATAATCAACATGCAAACCTTCATAGTTTCAAAAAAATATGATGAAATACTTGAATAAGAGAGAAGAATAAAATTAAGATACCATCCATCACAGAAGATATCATCCATCTCTTTAAGAGTTTTATGTGTTTTAATTTTGTACTGATATTAAAAATCTATCTAAATTCTATCACAATAAATACCTTATGAATACTAAAGAGGACTCTGAAATTTTAGGTGATGTTTAGTAGAGGGATTCGTTCTCTGATTCGAATCATGATTCGTGGTTCGGTACAGTATTTTCTCTCACAAAAAATACATGTAAATCGAAAATGGTTCGAATCACATAATTTGAATCCTCCAACCAAACGTCATCTGTTTCAAATGAGAAGTAGGGATCTCTTTTATAGGATTTAGAGGAGACAGTGACTTTGTCTCTTTCCGTTGTGGGACAAAAGACTTCTCTTTTTCCCAATTCCTTAGAAGTTTTTCTTCAGTTTTTTCAACTTTATAAGAGTACTTTGAGAGTCAATTTTTCATTTACACATTCACCATTTTGAGCATATAAATATATAATTTCATTCTCCTCCTAATAAAAAACACAAATCTAAATTAAACTATCACTAACACGAGGTGTGGGCCTCAAGATGATACCTTGAAAAAGAATTTTCTAAGCCATTTTTCCAACACACCCCATTTACAGCCGCCCTTATGTCAGTCACTTTATGGACCCTCCCATTCAACACCTCCCAATCTTCCAAAATCCAACTCGACATCTTCCAATTCAATCTTATTTCACTTTGATTCTCTCCATTGCACAGTAAGAATCCCTCGAAATACTTTTGCGCACAATATCTGCAATTTCATGTCCTAATTCACAAGGAGAAAAGCCCACAAGAAAAATTCAATCCATCCTCCTTTTTGTGCGTGGTAACTCCACTCCTTTGAAAAGCGCATGTTGTCTAGAATAGTCAAAAACATTTAGCTCAAAAATCATCTGAAAATTATATAAGCATGCGCGTCGGTCAACTGGAACTATCATAGCTGGACACATGGGAATATGCTTGAGGCTATTTCTTGTTCTTGGTCATCAACACCAACTCTTCGGATTTTGTTTTCCAATTACCTGCCCAGACAGATTATTTGGTTTCCAATGACTAATAACAACTCAGGATCTACGCAATCGCTTGCAGCGGTATGCACCTCTTGCCTACTGATTTGTTTATCCCCTGCCACGACCTGCTTGGCTGCCTTATATAGCCTTTTTCCTTATCTATATTCGCAATAACACCAATGAATTTCTTGTGTCTGACTGGCACGAAAGATTTTAGATTTTGTATTTTGAGGAGAATATATCTGAAGAGATCTGTCAGTGTTTTCAACTCTGCTCACCTTGACCCAACTATTTGCTCAATCTCCTTCGCCTTTTTCAGTTTCGGAGAAATCCACGATGATCCTCTCCAGCTCCAAGAGCAGAGAGATTTATTTAAAGAAAATCAATTCTTGCTCTGCTTTTACCTTGCTTAAAGACAAGCACATAGCCCGTCCCATATATTCATTATTTCTCTGCCAAACAGGTCTCTAGAACCTGCTCCAATTGAAATGAACAAGTCCAAAATTACTTTGGATTACAACTCCCGTCTAATGACGTTCCGCCTGTGACTCACTCAAGCTACTCACCTCGTGATTCTATCAATTCGAATCTCTCTTTCACCGCCTTTTTCGTTATATAACTTTCAAACAAACACAACTCGAAGGATTTCAGCAGAAGAAAAAAAAGAAAAACAGAACTCAAAGGAAGAGTCTGAGTGAGAACTGACAACTGAGAAAGATCATTCCTTTTTTTCTTTTTTGGTAATACAAAAAAAAAAGGAAAAAAAAAGACGATTAATTTCTTCGTTCTTCATCTAAAACAAAGTCCTTATCTTCATATTTTTCCATTTCAGACTTGGCCGATGATTCTATTTCTACTTGTTTGGTTGCCGAGAAATTAGAAATGTTTCACTTTCACCTCCTCCACTTTCTCTCATTCCAGAGCCGACGAGGAATTCGTCATTGAAATCAATCAATAAATTGGGATTTCTTCAGCTCAATCGTCGTTCTAAGATGAGGAGCATCAGACCCATGCCTGAAGCTGTTCGTACTTCGGTGCGTTCTGGAACTATCGTCTTCGACATTGCCAGAGTTGTGGAAGAGCTTGTTTTCAACAGCCTAGATGCAGGCGCTTCAAAGGTAATATTCAACTCAATTCAGTCCAATACAACTTCTTTTGCTACGTGAATCAAAACTGGTGATCAGTGTAATGTAGAGTAATAAACTTTACCATTGCTTTCACTTTCATTTCTTTTTTGGGTTTGGGTTTGGAAGATTATGAATTAGGGTTCGTCTCTTTTTTTATTGCTTGCTTTTCAAATCTATGCATGTATCGTTTCAATTCCCGGGCAAGTTCTTTTCGTGTGATCGAGAGAAAGCTTTTCCCCCCAATCAAGTTTTAATCTTGTGGTGGAACAGAATTAGGGTTTAGGGTTTATGAAGATACTATTCGTGTGAGATTATTAGAAATCATTTCGGTTTGTACATCTAATTCCTCCTTATTTTTGGAAGAAAAACAGGAATTTTGCGAATTCACAGTTCCTTACTGCTTTCAGGTATCAGTTTTTATAGGCGTTTCGACATGCTATGTGAGAGTAGAAGATGATGGTTAGTACACCAATCCTCTTACCCGGGTTGCAACTATGAGGAAAAACCTTTTTTTTTTCATTTACATTTTTTTTTCAAGCTTCGATATCACTCTGACCGGTAAATTTGCAGGATCTGGCATCACCCGGGATGGATTAGAGTTATTGGGAGAAAGATATGGTAAATTTGTCATTTTCTTTAGGACTTCTTTCAATCTTCCAATGCTTAATAATCTCCAAGGTTGAAAGACTAATGCCTTATTCAGTATAATCTAGGAGAAAGACAATGATTGTATAACAAGTGAACCATGTCACATGTGGAAAAAACTTTTCTGTTTCGACATCTTATAGTCCGTGATAAAGTATGGACACCTTCGGCTAGGCATGCATATGCATTTGTAAGAAAATTTATCATATTTGAACTTATGTTTACTTGAAGCTCACACGATTATTTTGTATATGTACAATCTGTGGACAGCAACATCAAAGTTCGACCAATTGGATGATAAGAATACTAAGACTGGGAGCTTTGGTTTTCGAGGAGAAGCATTGGCTTCAATTTCTGATGTATCAATGTTAGAAATTTTGACAAAAGCTTGTGGGAGGCCGAATGGGTATCGCAAGGTCATGAAGGTATGGATCATTTTACTTACAAAGAAAGAAGTTTCAAGAAGGATGCTTTATCGACTTTTCCTCTAATTTTGTCATAGGGAAGCAAATGTTTGTATCTCGGAATATGTGATGATAGGAAGGATGTGGGAACAACAGGTGCGGACTCTATTCCTATAATTCTTTGAATGAGATGGTGGAGATAATTAGCCTTGTATTTCATGATTTTTCAAACTTCTTTGGACTGATTTTTACATCGTTTATGTGAATTAACCTTTTTTGCACCTTGTTCTATAATTGTTCACTGAATGGCTACTTTGATCAACTGGGTTGTGATTTAATGTAGTTGATCAATCAAGTTGGTAAACATAGGAGACTTTTAGTTGCTTTCTGTGCTAGATTGATGGTTTCACATGCTATGAGAAAGTTATGTAAGATGATCTAATTGGACATTTATGCTTTACTTTCATGCTGGTTTCCATGAGGTAAACTTCTTGTCTGTTGGTCAGTTCCTCATATCAAATTGCTTTACGTGCAGTTGTTGTTCGTGATTTATTTTACAACCAACCAGTTCGGAGAAAGTATATTCAATCCAGGTGCCCTGTTAGTTGAAATTTTACTTTTTTTTTTTCCAGCTCCCTTCGTCTGTATTTTCGTTACACTTGCAGTACTTTGTACTGACTTGACATACCTTTTGGTTTGTATATGAACTGTCAGCCCTAAGAAGGTCTTACAATCAGTCAAGAAATGTGTACTTCGGATTGCCCTTGTGCACTCAAAGTTGTCTTTCAAAGTTGTTGATCTGGAAAGGTATTTTCTGTTCATGTTTTATAGTTGAATCTTTTTATTATTTTTAAAATTTTTTTTTTTTTTCTTGCTTACATTCTTTATCTCTCATGCAGTGAGGACGTGCTTCTTTGCACACATCCTTCTTCTCCCATGTCTCTGATGACCAGTTGTTTTGGGATCGAGGTCTCTACCTCTCTTCATGAATTGAACATCAGTGCTGGCAAAATAAAGCTTTCTGGATACATATCTGGCCCATGTGATAATCTGACCATTAAGGTAGAGGGATTCATAGTCATGGTGATCTTACTGAATCTCTTTGCTTTATCTATCTTATACTATCTGACTTTTTTCTTGCAGGCCTTTCAATATGTCTGTATCCGTGCCTATTGATAAATTTGAATAATGTTCTTAGTTTTAGGTGGATGTATCGGGATAAGAATGTATTATATATATATATATATAATATTTTATTTGAATTTTTTGACCTTGACTCTAGCAGATATTAACTCACGGTTTGTTTGCAAAGGGCCAATCCATAAACTGGTGAATCGATTGGCTGCTAGTTTTGAGTGTTGTGACCAAATGAAAGCTGTCAGTGGTATCCAAAACAGAAAGAGAAGTAGGCCTCAGTCATACCCAGTTTTTGTTTTGAAAATAAGTTGTCCTCGTTGTTTCTATGATCTAACCCTTGAACCATCAAAAACTTATGTGGAATTCAAGGTAATTTTCTTCTCTCCCCCATGATGGATACTAGTTTCAATTCAGTCTGTAAGTAACTGTAAAAGCTTAATCTAATGAGCTTTTAAGTGATTACTGAATATTACTTTTTTTTTTTTTTTTTTTGCTTCTTTCAAACCCCTCGCCACTCTTTACCAGGATTGGGTTCCTGTACTTACACTCCTTGATGAGGCAATTCAACAACTGTGGAAGGGAAATATATCTTACAGTATGCCTTTACTCTATTCATATTATTAAGAGATTGATGTGTTCTCTCATGGTCTCCATGGATTCAGTTTGGTATGATGATCTATTATTAACCTCTGAGATGTTTTAGGAGAATCTATCGGGGTTGCAGCTGATATAATGGCAAAAGATCTAATGTTGCATGGAGATGAAATTACCATGTATGCAGAGGGTAATGGTCCCACTTTATGAACCCGTTTGTTTTGATGTCAAAATACAGTCTGATCCATGTTTATTAGTTTTTAGGCCTTTCTCCCTGTTGCTTTTGGTATAGCATGTTGATAAACAATTCTTCTCTTTTGCTGCTAGATTTAGGTGATGAAAATTTTTCTGGGAACTCCACAATTGAGAAAAAGAATTCCACAATCCAAAGTCATCTGGCCTCTCCGGGCCTTGTGTCTTCTCATTTGAAGATCCTCAATAAAGAGGAAGCTTACTTGTCTCATGGGCAGCAGGATATAACTCCAATTCGCAGCTCGAGTAACTACTTCAAAGAGAAAGAAAACGAGACGGATTTTACTATTCAGACTGAGAAGTTTGGTCAATCATGGGAGCTTCCCCTTCCAAAATGCATTGCTGAAGTATCTGGAAATTGTGAAAATGAAATATACATTTCTGATAACAATATTTCATCTGTGAAAGACCATTTCTTCGTGAATGAAGTCAGTAATGGAGAAAGATGCAGCGGTCGTGTGGATAATAGTAATTTCACTTCATGGTGGGGAAATGATTCCTTTGAAGGTAGTCTCAATGTTAGCAGTGGATCAGGTATTGCAAAATTTACTGATTGTCCAGACTTGATTGATGATGTAAAGATGATCAGGCCTTTTCTAAAGAGTTGCTCCTTGCGACGGAGCCTTCCACATGAGAGTTCTTTGTTTACAGATGCTGGTCACGATATTCGAAGTGATAACTTCAAGATGAAGAAACTGTTGACTGAATCTTATGACAGAGTTGATATTTCAGAAATTGACGGTGGCAACCTGAGTTTTGATTTCTTGTCAAAGACTTCGTGGCAGGACCAAACATCTAGTTTTCAGCACTTTCCCAAAGTTTCTAGAAAATCTGACTTGTCTGCGGAATTTGACAGTCTCCCTGTAAAGTCAATCCCGTTTTATGAGGAGAGTCTTGATGGGAATGATGATTTCTCATCTCATTCAATTGCAAAAGTAGACACCATCGGATCTGATCATTTCAACTTGGACTCCAAATGGCGCTTTTTGACATCGGATTCCTTTTCCCAGGGCTCACCCTGGGAGGTAGAAGATTACACTGATATCAACATACGTGAAGGTAGTTGTACATATGTTAAAACAGCTAGATACAAAAATTTTACAGATAGTGAAGAGAATGACTGCAGATTTAGTTATGATGTACTGGAAAAGAGATCCAGCCAAGAAAACTGCACCACACGTTCAAACAGTGGATTAGACGATGCTGTTTCAGGCCGCTTCCTGCAAAGTTACAAGTTGAAAAATAATTTCTCTCCTGAATGCATAGACATATTAACTGATGAGAGAGAGAGTTTAAGTTTAGGTTCACATGGTAAAAGCCACAAAAGTATTGCAATACACAAAAGTCAAAGAGATAAATATAATGAGGAAATTGAAAGAAATTCTCATTTTTCGAGTCGAAGATCAAGAAGTTGCTCAGCTCCACCTTTTTATAGAAGCAAGAGGAGGTTCTTTGCCTTGAATTGTCATTTTTCATCAAAAGCTGATAATGGCCCTGCTTATCAAGGTATTTATAGGTAAATTTCCCTTTTAAGACATTGCTACAGATGCAAGATGAGCTAATACACCTTTAATGTGCAGAAGCTCCTGAACATTTGAAGTCAACTTCATTGGGGGATTCGATGTTAGACAGAAGGTACTGCAATTTTGTGCGTCTCTCTTTTTCCTTCTTCCTTTTTTCCCCTTTTTTGATAGATATGTTATCAGTAACATACCTTGTTCACCCCAACATTGCCTTCAGACTAGATTTGAAGAATATGCAAGAGCTTAAGGAAGACAACAAGAAGGTTAATAAAGATGTAAGGTTTGAACAGTCAGCTTGCTTTGACATTCAAGACGCTGCTCTGCTAAAAGGTGACTTTATTATCTGCTATGCTTTTGTGAATGCTATAACTCATGCAACGTGTGTAAGAACATCGACTTCTTGTTGACAAGTACCTAGTGAAAAGCCAGCAAAAAACAATATGCAGTGCCAATGTAATTTAGTTGGTGCATTTTGCTTATATTTGATATCTGTTCTATTCTGACATTGTAGGTTAACGTAGTGTGTCTATATTGTGTCAATTTTCAGAAACTATCTCCGATGAATTTCAAGATTCTCCAAATCATCGAACCAAGTGGCGGAACTGCTGTCCACAGACTGCTGTACGAATTTGCTTCTATTTTTTTCCCTCTCGGCCTCTCCCAAAATGTTTATTTTCTAAATATGCGTTATTTAGTATTTATCAGCATACCAAATTTAATACAGTAAATGTCGTCTCTAGTCAACTTCTGATCTATATTTTCTATTGTTCTAAGCAGAATAATAATAAGTTGCCTGGAATCCATGATCAGAATACTATACTCGATGTCTCTTCTGGATACTTGCACCTTGCCGGTGACTTATTAGTTCCTGAATCTATTAACAAAAACTGCCTTGAGGACGCCATTGTTCTCCAACAGGTGGATAAGAAATTTATTCCAGTTGTGGCTGGCAGAACACTTGCCGTTGTTGACCAGGTCCACTTATTTATTTCTGTCAGAATTTTTTTTTTCCTCCTAATTGAGGGCACCTTCTGTGTATTCATTATAGCACAATATTCTATACGCCCTTTTGCATATGTGAAGTGGTCTGAGGTTGGCAGGACAGTAAAGAGAACACTTGTTATGCACACACACACACACACACACATGTATATTAAAAAAATCCTCATGGAAAAGTCTATAGAAAGCAGAACTATTAGGGCCCGTTTTTTTCATATACGTAAACTCAAATAATTGATTCTGTTACAGTGTTTTCTCTCACAAAAAAAATGATTTCAAACATCATAATAAAAAATCATGGATTGAGTATACCTTCCAAACGGGCCCTTAAACGGCAAGAGTTGCGCTGTTGTCTTTTCAAATTTTATCCCTGCATAGTGCAGATACAGCTTTTTCAAATGAACATAGATTTGATGCTTGTGTACATAAATGCTCTCTCTTCATGTTGGACATGCTTGTATACTGCGAAACGTAAATCTTGTAAATGTACAACATGGACTGGAGTTCTGACTACTGCTGTGGTCCTTGTCACCAGCATGCTGCAGACGAAAGGATTAGACTAGAGGAGCTGCGCCAGAAGGTAGTAATTTTTTCTGTGTTCAAATATTAGATTTTTAAATCAATTATATATATAGGCTATTTTGTACGAACACCCCTTGAACTCTTCAAATTTGGCAATTTAGTCTCTAAACTTTTTTTCCTGGCAATCAGCACCCCGAACTTATAGTTTTTTGCACTTTCAACCCTTGTTGCTCAAATTTATTAAAATTTTAACGGTTTTTTTGCACCTAACTTGCAAATGATAGCCTAATAAGAGCATTGATGTTCATTTTTGTTTAGTTTCAATACAAATACATTTAAAAACTTGAACTTAATTTAATTATAACTTAAACTTTAATCTAAATTTTAACATGAAATGTTATTAATACCAAACAAAAATATCATCAATGCGCTTCTTAGGCTATCACTTGTAAGTTTGGCACAAAAAACCATCAAAATTTTAACGAATTTGAGCAAGAAGGACTAAAAGTGCCAAAAATTAAAAGTTATGAGTGTTGATTGCTAGGAAAAAAAGTTTAAGGACTAAATTTCTAAATTCGAAAAGTTCAAGGGGTGTTCATACAAAATAGCCATGTATATATTATTAATGTTTTCTGACAATTTATTTGAATGCTAAGGTCTTGTCTGGAGAAGGAAAGACAATTACTTTTCTGGAAGCAGAGCGAGAGTTGGTATGTTTGTATTATGCTACATGAAGTTTTACTATTTCCTTAACTTGAGTTGATAGTCTTCTCACTCTAAATATCAGACACTGCCGGAGGCAGGGCATCAGTTACTGCATAATTATGCGGAAGAAATTAAAGAATGGGGTTGGATATGCAATATTCATGCTCAGGATTCAGGGTCCTTTAAAAGGTAAACTTTTTTGTCGTCTTCTTCTAAATCTGTCATTAATTATTGACGTTAAGTAATATGGTATAATGTCAATTGTCAATAATTAGCATTTTTTACGAGACTTATCTGCAAAATGATTGTTGGTGACGTTAATGTTCGCCACTCATAGCAATAACCACAAGTAAATTCATTTTCATCATGTTACAGTTTAACAATATTTTCAACCCGTGCTTCTTTCGTTCAATCTGTTCATTGTTGATGCTCATTTGAAAATTCTCCTTTTATATTTTGAAGAAAAGAACTATTTTCTTCTCAACTCATATTTAGGGGTTCTTCATTTGAATTCTTTGCACAGGAGTTTGAATCTTCTCAACAAGCAACCAGCAGTTGTTACACTTATTGCGGTATAAGACTTACTTGTCTCTGTTAATTAGACCATTAAGCTTGCATTTTAGCGTGTGGTCCGACCCTGTTAGAATGCTTTTCTCTCCAATATACTAATACCTCCTCGAGAAATGTTGAAATTAACCGACTTATTCAATGTTCAACAGTGCAAGTGAAGCTGCATCTTAAATGTACATTATATTGCTTATATCATTATCATATTTACATAACATGCAGGTTCCCTGCATCTTAGGTGTAAACTTGTCTGATCTAGATCTTATGGAGTTCCTTCAGCAGGTAAAATTTTCTTGAACCCCTACTGAAACATTTTCTTTTTCTTTTTCCTACCCTTCTCTTTCTAATTTGTTTGTCTTGTGTTCTTTAGCTTATCCTTTTTAAGCCACTACGATATGTCTCTGACGCCAGTTTTTACTTTTATCATTAGCTTGCTGATACTGATGGATCATCAATGATACCGCCCTCTGTCCTTCGCATCCTTAATTCAAAAGCATGCAGAGGTACATGCTAGATAATGAATTCTAATTAGTCCACAGTTGTTATTGAAAAACTGTTGATATTGCATAGAAATGTTGAACTTTGTATAGAGTGACTAAGGATTGTCTTGTTGCTTTACCTGGTGACGTTATTGTTTAAGGTGCAATTATGTTTGGGGACTCCTTGCTACCTTCAGAATGTTCCCTCATCATCGCGGAGCTAAAGCAGACGGCACTATGTTTCCAAGTAAGTGTGCTTTCGACAAGTTCACCTCCACATAGGTAGTATGTGTTTCTTCGTGAGTGTGCGCTCATGCACACGTACGTGTCTGAGAGAAAATGAGTTTGTGAGCTGCCTTAGTTGAATAACCAAACTGGAGTGAATCGTGCAGTGTGCTCATGGGCGGCCAACCACTGTCCCGCTTGTCAACTTGGAGGCATTGCATAAGCAGATTGCAAAGATTGCGTTGATGAATGATGATTTGAATGGGTTATGGCATGGTTTATGCCGACATGAACTCACCATTGAACGTGCAGCGCAGCGTTTAAGTTTGGCTACAAGCTGAAGCCTTAGCAACAAAACAAGTTTTCTGGGGAGCACATTTCAAGTTCGTGACGCACCCACCACAGGATAATCACACTGTTAATTCATTCTTTCTTGTTTGTAGTGTATGGATTATTCCGTAAGGGAGCACATGCCATAGAATACCCCAATTAGCACGTTTCAAGTTCGTAGAATAATCAATTCAATTGACATTTTCGATAGTGTTTTTATTACATTTTTTGACTCGATATGCGGAACGGTCCCCTGTAAATACAAAGTTAACATTGATATTTGATTTATCATTCTATTACATTTTTCAGCTTGATATTGATGTTTCCCTAAAGATTGTATTGAATGAGCCATTAAAATTCAAAGTTCATGTTGATGTCTCCCAAACTAGTGTACTTTCAGCTTCCCTCTCATTTAATCAAACTATATCTAAACCCATGTTGAAAAAGTTATTCAATAAGCAATTGTATGAAAACAATGTTACAGCCGAAATATGTAGAGGACAGACAGGGAGTTGCAGTATTAAAGAGGGTCCTTTGCAGTATTTATCATTCTTTGTTGAATTTTGTTCAGCTCCATAGTTGTTGACTCCTAATGGGCTCGTTGACCTCTAGAAAAGGAAGGCCCACTTATTTCGCCTGAAGCATTTTCATGTTGGCGAGTGCGAACAAGCTCAACTTATGTTGACAAAGATGCCTTAGTTCAGGAAACTATCCTTCACTGTAGCCCCCCCTCACCATTTTCTGTAATAGATGTGTTTGGGATCTCTTCCTTATTTGTGGCTGCACGTAAAGCCTTCCAGATGGGCACTAAAATTTTGACCGGCGGCCGCAATGTCTGAGGCGACGAATTCAAGTTTTCATAAACCAAAGAAAATAAGGAAAGATATTACTCAATGATAGCATTTTTATTTAAACGATAGTTACCTCAAAAACTGATATCAGCTCTGCTTCTCCACACACAACTAAACACAAGCACCAGTAACATGTAACCGGGGTCACACATTCCAGCACAACTGGTTTCAAAATCTTGTCGACAGGGATGAAGCGCCGAATTACTTTTCCACTGCACGGCATAATTAAAAGTATTAACAAAAAGAGAACAAACAGGTATGCAAATCATTGAAGTTAATAATACACACTCATCACAAGGTTTTTCATGTTCTGAATGCATCACCACAACATCCTATTTAAGGAGATTAATATTTTACAAGGTGAGCATCCTAAGGTTAAAGCATAGTCACAAGGAGAACAAAAAGAAGAAAGCATAATGAAATTATGTGGCAAAATAAAATTTTTTTAAAAAAGGGACAAACACCTGACATAGTGAGTTTCAAGTTGAACTCCGAAAGCTGGCATAACGAGGACAGACTCTGGGCCATTTTAGAAACGAAATTATGTGGGTGACACTTGACAGTAACATAGCACAACCGATATAATGCAATCTAGAAATCGCCTTTACATTAAAGAAGAAGAAACAACTATGAAGTTGGACCTCTAAAGCGCTCTTCTCTGACCTTTCTTAACAGCCTTCCAAAGCAACAACTTGAGTAGAAGTGCCTCTATAACGAAGCTCCATAAAACGATGACAATCGAATTGCCCTGTTATTTGGATGTTTGCACAAAGTTCAAATAGATACTTCTAATTCTTCACAAAAACATACATAAATATACAAAGAATTTATGAGTACGATGCGAAGCCATAAACAACTGAGCCAGAATTATTCATCAACAAAAACATTATTATGACAAAAACATAAGCAAATCTTAAGCCCAAAAAAAAAAAACAAAAAGAACCACCTAATACTAATAGATAAGAAAAAAAAAGGGAATACCTTAAGCTGGAAAAGATAAAAGAAATTTGCTAGAATGAGGAGAGCGGAGAAGAAGACAAAGAAACCACCCTTGACGCCATTCTTCCGAGCTACAATGTGGATGTCAACTGACCCTTTACCCTCACCACTGTAACTGTAACTGTAACTGTATCTCGAATCGACCATTCCTGACAGAAACAAACCGAAGATTTAACTGATCATCCCTAAAAACTCTCAAAATGTTCGTATGAATTAGGGTTTTTTTTTTGTTCAATAGGGAAATGTCGGATTCAGATCATTCAAGAGAGAAATACTAGTACCTCAAAATGTTAAGATGTCTACAGGATTTCCCGTTTGCTCCAAAAAAGTTTCGCTGCGGAATTGGTCTTCTACCTCAGTGGAAATCTCGGTGGTGCTGAAGCCCGGGAAATAAAGCTTCAGTCTTGAAGGAGAGAGAGTCAAAGAGAGAGGAATTAGAAAGAAGGGAGAAAAGGAGAGGGCTAGATGTAAAAGAAGAAGAAGAATTGAGGGGCCAAAATACAAATTTTCATTTCTATTGAAGATTACTGAGACCTTATTATTATTAATATTATTATTATTAGTATTATTGTTATTATTATATTATGATTATTTTCTTTTTGGTGAATAAAATTACTGGGATCTTATTCAATAATTATTAGGAGATTCGAGACCCAAATGCTGTTTCCTTTTTTTTTTCCTTGTTTCAGTGGCTTAGGCCTAATAAAGGTTTATTATTATTATTATTATTATTATTATTATTATTATTATTATGTTACTTCTTTTTTTTTTTTTTTCCTTTTTTGGGGCTTCAGAATGGAAAGAGTTTTGATCACCGCTAGTTAATTGGGATATGGCCAGGAAGATTCTAATTTCTATATTTACATAATAATAATATAAACAGGAACATCCTGTGAATAAATTTTTATCTAAAAAGAAATGTTACTTACATATTACACTGAGGTCTCGTTCATTTCATCGATTCGAGTTTTTAGTTTTAAGTTTTTACAGTAAAAAGTTCTCAGAAAATATCACATCTATTTTTTTTTTTTTTTTGCTACAGTGAAAAGCTCTAAAAAAATGTCACATCTCAGCTCGAATTGAAAACTCGAATCTGCGAAGTGACGAGACCTGAATCATTCCCACATTGGCTTGATTTTCTTTTCTGAGTTGCCAAACATCGACTTAGAAGAGGAGTGGTTTATTGATGAGAGAAGAGAAAATCTGTGCTTCAACAATATATGGCCGACTTCTCTTCTAGTGAGCCAAATAGTTAAATGAGTAATTTCAGAATTTGAAAGATGGCAGATGCATAGGCCGTGTTTAGAATTGATTCTGTTTTTATTTATCACATTTTAAAAAAAAAATAAAACATTTTTAAAACGGTATTTAGCGTAATAAAAATAAAAAATAAAAATAAAAAAAAATTTTAGTTTAGTGTAAAATGAGAGAGAAATGAAAAATGATTTTTAGTCATTTTTTATTATTTATTTTTATTTTCTCCTTTCTTGAACACAGAGAGATATATATATATTAATGAGTTTTTTATACTGAAAATAATCTATAAATAAAACTATCAAATGCATTTTTAAAAATAATTTATGTCTGAGATTGAAAACATTTTCATTTTTATTTTTATACAAAAAACAAAATAATTTTGGAACGAGTTTCAAACACGCCTATAATTTCATATTTTTAAGATGACAAAGTATAAATTTTAATAAAATACATGTTACTATAAATTTTAATAAATTTTAGCTTCTGGTGATCATTTCAAAGGCCTAAGCCGCATGCAAATGTAGCTTTTCCTGTTAGTGTATTTGTGGTGCACTGCAGAATTACCACAAAAAATAAGATAGAAAATGTCCTCAAAATATTTACTTTGCAAAAAGAAGCTCTCCAATTGAAAGCAATTAGCATAGCAAGGCTTTTCCATCCCATTCACATTTCATGTTCATACGTATAATAAAATGTTCATTGTATTGACAAAAAGCTAAGGCAAGTCTTGGATCAAATATCAGTCAAACTCAGAACACAAAAGAGCAAAAGTGCTTCGCATTTATCAAAAGTGAAACAGGTACATCCATCTAGTCTCCAAACGTAAAAAGACTCCATTTTGTTGGTTCATCAAAACCACGACACTTTAATCCCTCATAACAAAAAAAAAATGAAGACAAAAGATGAAACATTAAACTCTGCTAAGTTAGCTTTCTACTCTTCCCTAGGTAGGTATATTTCCATATCCCAGATTGTACAGCATCCACTTGCATTGATTTCTAATATCATCCAACAAGCTGCTGCATCTAAGAACTGCACCATTTCTATTCACAATATTAACTCCTTTGCTCGGACATTGGACCGACGGATTAGCCTCATCCCGTCATGCTGTAATCTTCTGCATTCTCGTAAAGACTATAACTCCCCGGCACTTCCATCTTTCCACTCAGGTGCTCATTTCCTACCACCAAAAGTTTAGAGAGGCAACACTATCAATGTATCTGTTCGATATTCACGACAAAAAATATTTTATGATTCTATCCATAACTAATATTGGTGTTTGTGCTGTTCATAATCGCGGGCGTGTGTGAAAGAGACGGAGAGAGAGAGAGAGGGGGGCAAATCGGATTGCAAAAGAAAGAGGAAAATATGCAGTATGTGTTGTTAAACAAGTATATTAAGCATACTGAAATCTGAAAATGATGGATCCAATATGAGGAAAAAGAAAAAGAAGGATAGGTCAACATCAACGAGAGGGAAATGATAGATGGAAAGGAAAAATGCACAAATAGGAAAGTAAAAGAAATTGGGAGGGAGACACTTGATGTAATAAGAGCTAATTCAGCTTAAGTTAAAAAGGGGTGATTTATGATGCAAGGACAAGTTTGGTAACAAGAGTATAGAGAGTAATTAATAATACGCACTTGAGTTGGAGATGGAGAGCAGACCGTCGTAGAATGGCATTTGAGCCAAATTTCTGGCAGGAGGCCGTAAACAAGTGTTTGATGTGAAGATGGCTTCTCCTTTGTTAGACTGAGGATCAAAGAAATGCAGATCAGAGCTTATCTCGGGATTCTGGAAGCAAA